CTGTGGTCAGTAGGTGGTGCTGTTGGGAAGAGAAAAGCAGTCCTCAGGGCTTTTAAAGGAGGGCTGGTTGGTTCTGAGACTGGTTGGGCGTGGGGGAGATGGGGAGCCCTACCAGCCCACCCTCTCTTCTTTTAGCCACCACTAGGTGGTAGGCAAGTGTCCATGGGAGAGAAGGAAAAACAGGAGTGGGTGACTCCAGACCTGCTACCTACTGGTCAGGGTGTCCTGATGTTAATGACGGTAGTGGGGACAGGGGGGTGGTGCATGAGGATGTCCCCCAACTCTCTGGCTGAAGACCTGACAGTTTGTGCCTGTACAAGGCTAACCTAGGGACCTGCCTGTTGGTCTAGTGTCCCTCACCCAACATACATACGTACACACACACACACACACACACACACACACAGAATGGAGCTGTGGAGGAAGGCAGGCAGTGGTCACTAAGCCTTCTCGGTACACACATAGTTTTCCAGAGAGTTCTCCCCTTCCAACCTTGGGGTTTGAATTCCTCCAGAATTCTCATTTGCTTTCCCTCTATGCTCCCACAGCCCCAAGCATCATCTTCTCTACTAACACAGGTACACAGTCAGGGTGACCAACTTGTCTTGGACTAGCCCAATGTCCTGCATGCTGGACACCCCCTCAGTCCCAGGCAAACCATGATGGTTGGTCACCCTAAAAACAAAAAAAGCCTCTTTCCTCTCTGATTCAAAGGACATTCTGGTTGGCTGACTCTGAGAATACCTAAGACTTCAGTGTAGTTGGTCCCATGAAGACAGGCAAAAAGCAGAGTGAGGCTCAAGGGCTGTCATCTAGGACTCTCATGCTGACAGGAGATATAGGTAATTACATATAATGTAGCTGCAAGGGTGTAATAGACCCCTCGGAACCTGTGCAGGTACACCTGCTGGCTCCTTGACATGGAAGCTTTCCTGGAGGAGGAGAGTTTGAAACCCATGGGCTGAAAGACACAAGCAGAGGGAGAATCCTGGGTAAGAGGGAGAGAGGCAGGTGCAAATGGAAAGGAGGCCACGATGGGTCATCAGGTGCACAAGCACATGGAACAGATGGTCCACCCTGGCCCAGGAGAGAAAGGAGGTCCAGAAGGCAAAGAAGCAAGGAATAAAGGGAGAGGTATTCTAAACCTGGACTGGGAAAATTGGATTTGGAAGTTAGTGAGGAATTTCCGTAAAGTGCCACTCAAGGATGAAGTGTTTGGGCCCCAAAACACATGGGAGGAGTCACGTCCCATCACTTATGTATCCTCCTCCTTTCCTTTAGCATCAAGCCATGATCCACACTGTCCCCAGGGTTCCCAGGTCCCCAGGGCTTCCCAGGGGTGTTCTAGAGGCCAGAGTAATGTTCTGTCTCTCGACCTCAGGGTCAGATCCTCTGATTCTTGCTGTACTGTTAAGGTCCTCAGCCCCTGGGTCCCAATTTTGCTCAGGAGAGTTAGATGAGTTAGATGAATCTTATGCCAGACAGGTTAGAAGGAGGCCTAGTGCTCACACTTGCTATCACTTTCTAGTTGATCACCTCCAACTCATGGGAATGTGACACATCTAAGGACAGCTCCTGTCACCAGCAAACAGATCTCATAAGAAAGTTCTTAAGCTGAACCAAACCCAAAACTTCTATCCATTGGTCCCAACTGTGTCCTTTGGAACGTCACAGAAATCCAATCCTTTTCTCATAAAAACACTTAGAATATTGAGAACAGCCCTCCTGCTCCCTCGGGTGTTTTCTAGCCTAAATATATTCCACCAGTTTCTAATATGAAAGTCTTCACATGGGAGGTCCCTCCCACCAGGGCCTCCAGAGCCTGGTACAGTGTCTTGCACAAAGCAGGTTCTCCATAAATGTCCACTGATGCTTTCTTGACACATTTCCTCTTCACTTGTGGAGCCCATAGGTCCGCACTTGTCACATACTGAGTTAACTGTGTCAAAACTGAGACCAAATCAAGTTAGAGAAAAGAACAAAAGAACAGTTCACAAAACTGGAAGATTTCAAGCTGAAAGTGGCAAGAAGCACACAAAATGAGTGTGACAGCTCAGTTGACCAATGAAGTACATTGATCTCTAGTAATGACTGACCACTAGACACCTACATTCCTTTTAGGGGAACAGTGATAAATAAACTTACTTGTTTATAACCAATTGGCTAAGGAAGCTGTAAGGTCATGCTGATATGAGGAAAATTTAAATTCATTTACAGTCAGAGCCCACATTTTGGGGGGGAAATCAAGGTAATTGTAAATTTCAGTTATGTGGCTATAGGTGTTTGGTCTTCAAACTATGGCCTTCATTTTTGTTTTTTTCCTTAGTGATTACCAACTAGAACTTCTAAATCCAGACTCTCCTTGGTAATGTCCCTCTCCCTCTTTCTGAAAGCTTCAGCACAGATACAAAGAGGTGGGTCCTAGCTGTCCCATGTCCAGGTCTATGTCATTAGGGTCCTGACCCCAAAGTAACAGTGTGGGTAGGGCCTGGGTCAGAGCTCTGTGAGCATGAGAAAGGTGTGGTGGTTTTCATGGCAGAGTTTGATGAAGGCTTGCTTGTTCTCTCATGTATAATCTGTAGGGTTGTCTCCTTACCATCTAGTGAGGCCTCTCATATAATCATAGAGCTGTCCTTTCTTTGATATTGCTGGGCTCTCTGCTTGTCAGCCCCATGCTTCCTCTTGACATCTTAGTGTCCCATCTTGGACTCCAATGGGTGCATGCCTTTAGTGTTGGAAGACAAAGACGTTTCTTGGTCTTCAGCTAGGCTGGAGAAGTGTCATGAACCTCCCTCAGCCCAGTCAGAGACGCTATTGCTAGGAAGGTTCTCTGGTGCCTCTTTGTAGGTTGTGGCTCTGAGGGAACACAGTCTTATTCCAAAGTTGGAAAATGGAAGAGAAAACTTATTCCAACCAAGTAGAGAGGCAAAAAAAACCCGTGTGATTCAGGCATCTGGAGATGTTCAGGGACTTGGGATATCCAGGTTTTGGAGAGGCCCTCTGTGGATTGTGGAAAGAAGCTCTCTAGCCCTGCGCAGGGATGCTGCCTGTCTGTTCTCCAGCACCTGGCATAGCACGTGGCACTTGGTAGGTGGATGAATAAATGAATGAATGTGCAGACAGCTCCAGAAATCTTTCCTGTGTGCCATAGGCACTTCATGCAAGTAAGAGCTCTGTTCTGGAGTAAAGAAGGACTCCAGTTAGAATCTTGACTTCACCACTTACTTGCTTTGTGAGGCCAGACCAGTTCCTTAATAAAAGGGCAACACATGAACCCTGCTTCCAGGATTCCCTCCGAGAATGTGCACAGGGATCAGGGTCCATTTTTTACATCTGCAGACTCAGGCAGTCCTCAGGGCTTTGTGTTGCTGTTTGAAATCTTTCCCCAAGTTGCCCCATGACCCCTCATCTCTTGCCTTAGAAAATCTCTAAGATTAAGAGACCGGGTTGACTCCAGTGCTGCAAGACCCTCAGGTCAGCCAAGCAGCTCTCCATTGGGCACACCCCTATGGGCTGACTCAGAAGAGGGGCCTAGGAGGGTGAGTGAGGGGCTCCTTTAGCTCTCAGGAGACTGGCCCTTGACATAAGGGTCCAAGTTAGACCTTGGGGCACCACTGAGGAAGCATCTATGTATTCTTTCATATGTCTTGCTTCTGCTGGACCCTTTCAGTAAGGGGAAGTGGACTACATGGGGCAGGGAGGTGACCTGGGCTGACTTGGCTCTTCTTAAAACTGGGATCGCAGGGCAATTTCTCTATCTCAGACTCTATCTCAGAGGCATGCTTAATTCTTGCTTCTGACAAGGATGCTATGTTTATAAGGTGTCATGGATTCACTTGGGACCCCTTCTTCCATACAACTCTCCTCATCCCCATCTGAGACCTTTCTTCTGAAGGCAAGTATCAGAGAGGAGAGAACCCATAGTAGCAAGAATTCTGGACCTAAAGTTCTGAGGACAGGTCCCAGGCCCTGTTGGATTCTCCCAGGTGTGAAGTGTGTGTATACATGAGCCCACGATGTGTTGTGGGGGAGGGTGGAGGAGTCCAGGTGATCCTCTGTCATGGAGCCTCTGTCAACATTGTTGTTCTATGCTTCTGTAAGGTCTCTTTCTCATTCCTACTCCAGATTGTCCATAAAAGGGGGAACAAAATCATCACAAGGATGGCCTGTGATTGGGTGGTGGGAAGGAAAGAGCACACATTAAGTCAGACATCAGCCTTGGGATCAGCTTTATTCTGTATTTTACCTTCACAAGGGAGAAGAAAGCAATGAAGCTGAAGAGAAGACTAGGCTGCACCACACAGACACAAATCACATGTCTAAAGAATGTACGTGAAATTACAGGGCCCAAAGCAGACCAGACAGCAAGCACAAAGATCAGCCAGGATCCCAGACATCCTATCTCATCTGTCTTGTTTAGATTCAACCATTTACATATGTATTTTTTTTATTTTTAAAAGCAGAACTAACATTCCAATGTCCAATAATTTGCTGTTCCTTTTTAGAATGCAGAGACTAAATGATTCAATTTTTTATTTCTGTAGTACCACCAACCTCTTCTCTGTATTCATGGTGGTGGTGGTGGTGGTGATCGTACAAGGTCCATCAAATTTCAGCTTCTTTTGAGGCTTGAGTGAGAGGCTGATACTCTGAATGAGGAACGAAAGCATCCTTGGCTGTTACACACTCAAGGCTGGGTAAGTTTGTGCCCCAAGGGAGCTGAACTAGGCTTCTGTGGTCTCCCCTTATAACTGCACTATTCCTATGATGGCAACCTTCTATTAGACTGCTGTGAACAATACTTATTCACAAAGACTGACGAAATACAGAGAGAAATGTCTTCAGAGACAACAGACCCGGTCCTGGAATACTGAGGAAACCAGGAGGCAAGAACAAGGTGCACACAGAGGTATCCACAGGTGAAGGCTACCATAGCATGAGCTTGGGTTGGGTTTTCATCTGTTGGCCATCTTCTTGACCCCAGATGGCATTATGAGAAGTTACTTTCCCTTGCCAGGGGGCAAGCACTTCTCCTGGACTTTCTGTGGACAAACTTCCACACATTTTGTCTGAGATAGCTCCTGGCATGGCTCCACACACTGAGATGGGCATTGGTCTTGGCTTTGCTGTGGGCAACTTTCTTGGCATAATCCCTGGCACTGAGGAAGACAAACCTCCTGAACTTGCACTGGGCACTTCTCCTGGCAGGGGTCCTGGCATGGGGGAAGGCACACTTCCTCAGCATTTGCCTGGCACTGCTCTTGGGACTTTTGAAGACATGGAGGAGGCACACATGGCTGCTTGCACTGCTGTTCATTAAAGGACATCTTAAGGTAGGTAGCAGAACCTGAAACAAACACAAGATTTGAAATTAATTGCATTAACAGTATCAGGCTGGGAACTGGGAAATGAAGGGTTAGTAGAGGGAAATGGGGAGTAAATGATCACTAACCCTAATAACCTATTTGTTTGCTGTTTTTTATTCTTTTCTCTTTTCTATCCCTACGTCAGCTCCCTCTGACACCCATCTACTAACTGGGAATATTCTCATAGCTCTTGTCTGGATACCCATAGCCCAATCCTACCTGACACCACAGTTCTACCAGAGGTTTTCCCTTCTCCTCTATTTGACAATTTCTTTTTGAAAATCAGATGCAGGATACTAAATGGAATACACAGGATGGAGTGGAAGGCCCAGGAAGTGGCAAACCACTAAAAATCAGTGGAAAGTATAAAGCCCAATGGAGGAAGAGAACAGCCTCCTTAAGGTAGAGCAGGAAGTGAGAGGGAGAGAGGGCACAGATGTCTCCACTTACCTGTCTTCAACAAGACTCCACAAAGGATGTGGATTGCAGGGCCCAACAAGGTAGGGGCTTTTATATAGTGCCTGGTCCTGCCTCCTACAGAACTGACTGGTCACATGGGACAATGTTCTAATTGTGGAGTCACCATAACAAGCTTCCTCTGAAATTGCCCATGGTTTGAGTCACTGCTTGGGAAGCCTGTTAATCAGCCTCCATGTGGGCCGCTGGGTCCTCACCAGACCTCAGCAGGGAGGGGCTCCTCTTAGATCTCTCTCATTAAAGGTAGCAGCAAAAGAATGTTCATAAAACGTTATCTCAGTCTGTTAAACTGGTATTGGGTTCCTTGTCTGTCCAAACTGGTTCAGGATGTGGTGAGAGATAAGATCCACCTTATTCATCTTGCTTTCGTCAATGGGGAGATTTATGTCTAAGGCCTAGGGTCTGTCTGTGTCAAGGACATGTATGGCCTGTTTCGGACATTTCCTCTGGATACCTCTTCATTGGGCCTGGAAAGTCACACTTCCTGACCCAAAGAAGATGGGTTGTCTTGTGGTTCCAAGTGCACAAAGGCCCTACAGCCTCCTGAAGAGAGTGATTTTCCCTCATAGAAGGCTTGAGAGAAATTGGACTCATTTGTTACTTGTAGGGTGAAGGAGAAGAGGAAAAGGAGAAGACAGGTAATCTTCATCTTCTTAATTTTTATTTATGTCATTTCTAAAAGTGGATTTACAGAGTTTTCACAGTGACCAAGAAAACAGGATATGGCAAGGTTGGTCTGCCTCCTTGCCTTCTCAGAACTCAGGTCAATAAAAGCCAGGGGGATGAAAGGAAAAGTGTAAAAGCAAACACACCCAGTTTTCTCTACATCCAAACCTCGGTGTGAGCTGCCACTTCTGTCTTGGGTGCCCTCTCTCTCTGTGACTTGTGAAACCCTAAGCATACTGCAAGGCTCAATTCAAGTCCACCCCCTTCCAAGAGCCTTTGCTGATTACTCTAAACCAGAAACAAATTTACCTCCTTCTGAACTCCCATACTGGTTATTGTTGGTGCTATTTATATGATATTTGCTATAGTTATTGGGAATCCTAGTTATTTAAATACAAGATCTTATTGCTACCTCAGTTGTAGGTTTCTAGAGGGTAGGGGCTAGAAAATGGAAGATTAATGACTATTAATGCAGTGAATGCATTAATTAAGGAATAATTAAGGTAAATGTAGGAGACAGCTGGAGTAGAGGAGGATCTCATGTATTAGAGGATGAAAAAGCCCCTAGAGCACAAAGTGGGGCCTTTTTCTTGTTTGCTAAAGTTGATAAAACCCCAGGGACTTAAAGATGATGGGCCCCTCTAACTTGAAGAAGTATGTTTAGGTCATTTCCTAAGAAAAAGTGTTTGGCTAAAATCAGAGTTTCCTTTAAAGGTTTGTACAATTTTTGCATGCTCGATCCCCAAAATAGTTTTTAAAAGGTGAGCTGAGGAAGATCAGGTGACATTTTGGTCTTTAGGACTTGTGCAGAGAGGATTGATGTAGCACCAGCATGGGCCCCCTCAGTGTCCTGTAAGAGGCAGGTGCCCAGGGTGGGAGGGGTCAGAGGTAGGCCTAGGAGAATCATGCTGATGTTATTATGAGGCACATGATCTGCTGGGGACTGAGGTGAGAGTGGAGCTATGCAGGATGAAGAGAGGGATTTGGAAGATCCATGGGTATATCTGAAGGGGCATGGTCATTTGGAGAATCTGGGAACTGGGTGATCAAGTATAGGATGGGGGGTAAGGGGTTCCTCCTTTTCTTTCTTCTCTTTTTTCATCTCCTCTTTCCATTTCTCCTTTCCCTCTTCATCTCCTCCATCTTTTGTATGAAATGTTGTTTAAGAAACAAGATGACTCTCTGGAGTTCTAAGAGACAAGAAAATCTCCATCACTGGGTTTATTTATTCATCCCTTTAGTCATTCATGGCTCTGCTTGGAGTCTTTCATGGTTCTGAGACTGTGGACTCATGGAGAATATTGGCAAAAGTAAGCCCCCATGCTTGAGAAGAAGGCCCTTTTATGAGTCTTGGATAGCTGGAAGGTCCTGGAAGGCTCCTGAGGGAGATGTCTGCTCTGTGTTTTGCTGGACAGTAAGAATTAGTAGGCAAGGAGGGCAGGCAAAGATATTGCAGGTGCCTGGAAGAAGGAGTGCTGCTAGAACCCAACTGAGAGGAGAGCCTGGGGCTGACTCAAGAAAGTGGTGGGTGGGAGGCTGGGGGGAGAGCCTGCTTGGTTGAGATTTCCAGAAGTTCTCTACAATAGGATGCACAAGGTGACCTTGCTTGTGCCCCATGCATTTCTGTATCTTTGGCTGAGACTCAGGAGGAGACCAAATAAGGATATGTATAACAATGAGGAAAGCAGGCCATGTTCTCATGGAGGAGGTAATGCGGTTAGGAAGAGGCCAGAGTTCAACTTCTCTCAAAGGACTGTCTCTGCCTCACAGTGAGCTGATGACATTGAAGTGGGTCCGATGTAATCACAAGGGCCCTTCAATGTGTAAAAGGGGGCAGAAGAGTCAGTTTCACAGTGATGTGATGTGAGAAAGATTGGCTATTGTTGGTTTTGAAGATGGAGACCAGGCACCAGGAATGTGGACAACCTCTAGAAGCTGGGAAAGGCAAGCAAACAGATTCCTCCTTAGAGCCTACAGAAGGAGATAGAGTCCTGTTGGCATTTTGGTTTTAGCTCAGAGAGACCTGTGTCAGACTTTGGGCTTCCAGAACTCTAAAATAATATATACTTATGTTATTTTAAGCCACTAAAGTTACGGTAACTTGTTACAGCAGCAATAGAAAATTAACACACCTTTCCAATTTCTGAAGATCTTGGAAGTCTCAAATGAAGAAGTAAAATCCCACTTAGCACTCCCTCATTTAAGTACCTACTCACTGGTCATGTCAGCTCCTCAGAGTCAAAGACAAGCTTTGGTGATGCATGGGAAAATAACTGGATTCAGGACCCCCCCTGACCTGGAGTTGACTCAATTACAGAGTATGTGTAATACTGGATAAACTACTTAGCCTCTCAGAGCTTTAATTTCCTCTTGTTGAGAAGGGATAACATTATTTCACAGATTCCTTGTGAGGAATAAATTCGAGAACATATGCACCAACTCTTAGAGCCATCAGGCTACTTATAGAATGTTAGTGTCATCTGAATCTGTTCAGGACTTAAATCCCTCACAAAGCATTCTCAATTCTCTCAGTTCTTGTTCCATCTCTACTCTCCTCCCAGCACTCTCTTTTCTTATGGTTTTCTAATCACTGGGATGCAGTAGACTACACAGAGGCCCAAAGATTTGGCTCTGTTCCAAACAAGAGGTGTGACTTCAGTCAAGCCCCTGAATCTTTCTGGCCTCAGGTTCATCATCTTTAAAATAGTAAAGGTAGACTAGAAGTCAATCCAGGTCCAATGCAGCTTTGATATTCTGTGATACTGTAAATGTGGTCATAAATGATTTGCCCAGGCATCTATATGACTTTGTAAGTATGTGGATGAATGTCTGTAGGGAGAGTGGGGGAGAGGGTCTCTTCCTCCTTGATTAGGTTATGATTTATAATCCACTTAGTCTTCTGTTTTCTGTGGGTGGCAGTGGCCTAGCCAGGTGGCTGAATGACCTTAGAAAGCCTATCTTTTCCTAGGTGCAGAGTGGGAGTATTTTGGGGTCTGAGTCCTCAAAAATCAACCTTAGTGGTTCAGTATCTGGGGTTGTAGCCTGGACAGCTTTGGGGATATTGTCTCACTCTAAATCTTAAGATTAGGTGACTAAATAGTTTCTGTAACCATCCCCAGCCCTTCAGCAAGACTGGGGCTAATCTGATTGAATGTCATCTGAGATTTAAGATTTTAAATTTCTGCAGCTGTCATTGGGAGCCAGGGTATAATTACACAGGATCAGCAGAAGAGAGTCAGGTGTGTGCAGGACATGTCCCCCCCCCCCCCTTCCCATAAAATAACTATCTCCTTTGTTCAGATCATAAAAGTTCCCAGACTCTTCTGATTCACTCTACTGGCCCATCTGCATATTACAGGGCAGTGGCTCTGATAAAGCTGAATGGTGCAGAATGTGGCTCACCCCATTCCCTGGGAGCAGGTGCCTCTGGAGAGCCTGTGGGCTCCTGGAGGAGAGTCCACCACCCCCTCACTTCCCTGTCTCCAGTGTCACCTGTATAGACAGTCTGAATCAGAGGCTGTGGGAGGGGCTGAAGGTTACTGGCCACTGTGCCCAGAGGGGACATGACAGTACACCTGATTCCCCTTCTTTGTTTCAGTCCAACACATGCTTTAAATAGGAGGCACTAAATTATTTATTAACTGCATTTTTTTAGATGAGGCAAATGAGGTACAAAAATGTTAAGGGCCTAGTTCAAGACCATATGGTGAGCTCATGTCTGGACCAGGCAATGGCCCATGTAAAAACATTTAGGACAGAACCATATTGGGGATTCTTTATAAACTTCAAGGAGGCAACAAAGATGCAGACCAGTCAGT